GTGATGAGACTAACTGGTACTAGGAGGAACACTATACTACCTGCAAGTACCAAAACCTCATTAAGTGAAGTGTCAACACAAGCCAATTTAAGAAAGGCAGGGAGCTCACAAAATAAATGATCTACCTGATTTCGCCCACACAGTGGAAGCCTAAGAATCATCACGGTATGAATTAGTGAATGGCTGAAGCCACTTATCCAGGAGACAGAAGCCATTGTGATACACAGAGAGTGGCTCATAGTGGTAGTGTAGTGCAGTGGATGACAGATGGCAGCATAGCGATCATAGGCCATGACCATCAACAAAATACACTCAGTGGAGCCCACGGCAAGAGAGATGTAGAGCTCAGATACACAGGCACCATAAGAGATGGTCTTGCTTTTTCTCCAGAAGTTCATCAGAATCTGTGGCCCAAGACTGGTGGTGAAACAGATATCAATTAAGGAAAGATTGCTGAGGAAGAAATACATGGGGGTACGGAGGCCTGGATCTAGTCTTGATACTATAATGATGGTTGTGTTGCCCAAGAGTGCCATCAAATAGCAGACAAGAACAAGGGCAAAGAGTAACATCTCCAAGCGTGGCCGGTCAGCTACTCCCAGCAAGATGAATTCTCCTTGGTAGCTTTGGTTACTGTTTTCCCACAAGGTTTCCATGTTCATTGTCTATATAAATTAGAACAAGTAATGACATAAAAAAGGAATCCTGTACGAAACAGATAGGATTCCAGCATGATCAAATGAATCCCAATTTTGGAGTAAGGCTTGAATGCTATCTCTAGTAATTTAGATTAACCTTTAATTAGTGGACACTGTGAAAATGATTGGAGGTCCGTATCCTTTGGCACTGCTTTCTCACCATGCAATGCCTTAAAAACCACAAGGGAGGAATTGTGTATGGTTGACAAGTTAAAGATCTACCCATCTATTTTATTTTCCTGTTGCCCACTCTTTATCAAAAAGATTGATAATTGCCTTCTGGACATCCTATCTAACCTCTGATTGGATGTTGTTAGCTAGGTACAATGAATTTCCTGCACATAAATTTATTTGATTTCTAGCTACACAAAACCTGCTCCCCTAATCCTAGTTCTGTTAGATAGCCCCTGTCAGGGGTCTTCACAAACACTTATAGATACCATTGTTAACCACACAAAGATTATGATATCTGTAATATAAAGCACAGTCTTACTAAGGAAGAAGTGAATATGTTAGTAATAATGCAGAAAACATTGCATTATTCGGTTGTATAATACAATCAATAGATTTTGGAACTTTGACATAAATCAGAGGCTAAAGTTGTAGTTGAAGTCCTATGTAATAAACATAAATAATGAACATCAAACACTGACCGTATTCTGCTAGAATTCTTTTTCCACCCCAAGAATGGGTACGGTCAAAAGTTTTATAGGCTTTAAAAAAAATAAAATAAGGGAGAGTCACCTTAAGCCATGGACCTTTTGGGTGAGTCCCACTTGCCATAATATCAGTGGCTTAAGGCATCAGTTTCCCTCTTATCTTATTCAAAAAGCTCTTAAAGCATAACTAGGATCACAATAGCTTAATTTGTGAATATAAATATGACATGAATGGGGAAAAAATGAAGGATATTTATTGGGGTGGGCTTCAAAATTTTTAGCAAGGGGTTCTCTGCCCGGTTGCTGAGTGGGCGTGGCCATGGTGGGCGTGGCGTAGTAGGCCTCCTGCACCACAATTAGTGGGGGACATTTTGCCCTCCCTGAGCTCTCCAAGCTTTCCTTGAGCCTCCGGGAGGGCGAAAATGGCCTCCCTGGGCTCTGGAGGCTCTCTGGAAGCTGGAAACAGGCCCATTTCCGGCCTTCCCAAATTTCCGGGAGGCCTGTTTTTCACCCTCCCCGAGCCTCCGTATGCGCCCTGCACTTACCTAAATCTAAAACGGGCCGCATGGGGACTCCTGGGAGGGGAGGGGCAGGGTGGGCAGGGCCAGCCAGGAGTGAGATTTGGGGGTTCTCAGAACTGCACAAAATCTTAGCTAGGGTCTCCCCTGAACGCCTGCGAACCCCCAGCAGCCCCACCCCTGATATTCATCTTATCTACACTATTTGTAAAATTCTCGCGGTTACCGTTTGGCCTCTAAATGATCATCCTGATTGTGCATGGTGTCTGACTAAATAGTAATATTTTAGCATAGCATCTTATTTTGGAACAACTTCCTCTGTGCAGGAAAATTAGGGGCAATACCTTATGTCCCCTGCTCTTCTCATGGATATAGTCTACGAATTTACAGATAGTTGGAGTCCAATCACAACATTGGGCAGTGATTTCTGCTCATCTCTAAGCTGTGATCACCTGTCTTACAAAAGTATCTTTTCCAGTCGTCTCCTTCCGTTTCTATATCACAGTAAAAAAGATGTTCCAAGATGTTTTGCTGGATTCTCTCCCCACCTGCAACACATTTATTCCTTTATTCAGGTATCAATTCACTCACTTGTTATACTTACATTTCACCAATATTCAGTGATTTAAACAATAAGACTAGCTGAAGTGGTTATTGCAGAATGAAGGAAAGTTTCAAGAAATGGGGAAAAAAGATGTCATCTCCTACTGCAACTCATCCCAATACAGGTAGTCCTCAACTTACAACCGCAATTGAGCCCAAAGAGAGAGAGAGTAACAGAGATATAGAGAAAGACACACACACACACACACACACACAGAGAGAGAGAGAGAGAGGGAGGGAGGGAGAAAGAGAGAGAAAAATTGTGCAAGGTCACAAAAAAACCCACATAATATTTTCCATATAGAGAACCCCAGATGGATAAGATATAATTTAATATGTATGGACATTGGCATCACACAAGGAGGTCAACGTAGCCAGATATAAGCCTTACTGACATTAAGCTTTTTCCTAAAGTCACCCAAATTACATATTAATTTTCCTCACTACCTACAACACACTTAAATGAAAGAAGAAGAAGAAGAAGAAGAAGAAGAAGAAGAAGAAGAAGAAGAAGAAGAAGAAGAAGAAGAAGAAGAAGAAGAAGAAGAAGAAGAAGAAGAAGAAGAAGAAGAAGAAGAAGAAGAAGAAGAAGAAGA